CCCGCCCCTCGCCCGCCGATGGTACCTCCCTCGTGAGGGCTCCCTCAGAAATAAAACCTAAATAAAGCGGAATTAAAAGATTTGGCGTTATTAACTAATAAAAGTTGATTTCCAGGCCTTGATCTGAAAGTTATGATAAGATTTGCCGCTTTCGTGGGCATTTCTGCTCGTCTAATTATCGGACGGGGGTAGCTGGTAGTGTGAAGTGGAGGTGGTAGATATTTGTGGTATTAATACATATTAGCTGTATTAATACATATTAATATATTACATATATTACATATATTAATGCATACATGTTATCAATGTAGCAATATACAGTATAAATGAATACCGTATATATATTTCTACATATAACAATATGTAATGTATAGTATATTATAATATCTATGGTAATGTATCATATGTAATACCAACCCAACATGCATAATACATAACATGCAATGCGCACTTGATGTTAATATTAACATAATAACTATTGTATATTAATAGTAACATATTGATGTAATTATAGATCAGCATACCACTATTATAATATTGATATATTATAATATATATGTAGTAGTATCTGATTATAACCAAAAGGCATTATATCAAGAAATCAATATAAAACATAATATATAAAAAAACGTAATAAAGAGGCACATGTTTGACTTGTCCTTCAAAACACAATTTGATTGCTCAGAGTTTATATCTCTAAGTTATCAGAACACTTTGGCACTTTGTCATAAAATAAACTTTGTGCCTCAGCAAGGATGTTATTTCCAATATTTGCTTTGCCTGCTCCAAGAAGCTTGAAATAATTGCTTTAAAAATTAACTTAATTGCATTTGTTCAGTTCTTGGATGCGTATTGCTCATAAATTCGAAACTCAACACCAACTGGTTTGGAAAACTCCAAAATTTAGTTTGGAGTTTGGAAGTTTGCAATTTGGAAAATGCCAAAGCTTGGGGGTTTTAGTTCAGTTTCTTCAAATAAATGAATAAAGTTTTGGTTTCATGGATTGTTCTTCATTATATATTATGTGTTACGTTTCCCTGCAGTTCCACAGCTCCCCGTGCTCACTTTTGGGGAGGTTTTTGAGGAATCCCCTCCTGTGGTGACTCTGAGGGGGATTGCAGCAGCTCCCCCCCCTTCTGGGATATGAATAATCCCCATAAATTACACCCTAAGGACAGAACACGTTCTCTCAAAGCCTTTTAGGGATGAATCAGAGGACACCAAGCAGCACCTAATGGAAAGGACATTCCCAGGAAAAGCCTGGGCTCCCTGTCACACGCTCTGAGGCACATGGCACCACACGCACGTTTTAGGGACAAAACAGCAACAATCCCCGCTCGGATCCCTGACGTGCTCCTGCCAGATGACACCCGCAGCTTTATGGGAGGGGATTTGCTCAGGAAATGGGCTCCGAGGGCTGGGATTTGCAGCTCCAAGGGGAGGCAGAGCATCTGCCTGTTGTTGCTTTCCAAGGGGCTCCCCTGTGCTGCTGATATTTGCTCAGTACCCCACAGTTTTCCAATGTAAAAGGTTTGGGGTGACACTTTGGGTTAAACACATGCCAAACAGGAAAAGGGGAAGGGTTTCCCTCTCCCAGGTGAGATATTGGCGAGGAATTCCTGGTTTTGAGGGTGGGCAGGCCCTGGCACAGGGTGCCCAGAATGGCTGTGGCTGCCCCTGGATACCTGGAATGTCCAAGGTTGGAGCAGCCTGGGACAGTGGAAGGTGTCCCTGCCATGGTAGAACCAGACAGTCTGTAAGGCCCTTTCCAACCCAAACCATTCCATTCTCTGATGAAAACAGGCTGGAGTGTTTAATACACAGAGGGAGATGGATCACCACATGAGCACAACCAGCAGAAGTGTGCATTCCGTGCAGCAGGAAGCAGGAATTGCACCTGCAGGAAGCTCCAGCTCCGCTCTGGAGTGTCACACGCCAGGCTTGCACGCTGCCGTTTGCATTAAAACGGCCCCACAATCAGCCACATGGGTCAAAAGTCCAAAACACAACGTTTTCCTTGAGTATAATTCACAGTTTTCAGGCACTTCCGCCCTCAAGACAACATTACCATTCCTGACATTAAAAAAGGGTGTTTAAAGTATTTAAACTAAAAGGAATTCTTTACACCGAGGGCAGATCCTAGTGCTGCATGCACATAAGAGTCAATGCTCTCATGAGGGACAAGGACAGGACAGAAGTCACCTGTGTTTAGGCCTAACTTGAAGATCAGCTCATTAATTGGCACGTTGAAATTGATGAGTTTTCCCCAGCGGACAGGCAGAGCCCTGCAGGAATCCCAGCCCACAGAGGACCAGGACACAGACCCACTGCAGCCTCTGAGGGGAGGATGGCTGGCAATGTCTGCACTCAGACAGCGAGGGGGTGATTAAAAACCAAAAACACGCAGAGATCCTCCAGGAGCTGCCACCAAAGGCCGGGCTGGCTCCTGCACAACAAACACGTGTGCTCCCCTTTCCCTGCGAGCAGCCCGGCGTTCCCAGCGGCCAGAGGAGCAGATTCCCAGGGCTATTTCTGGCTGGGACACGCAGGGCTATCCCACCTAAGGAGCTGCCTCCAAGCTGCTGCCCAAAAGAGGCCCGGAGAGCCTCCGGACACGCCGCGCTCCTCTGCTATTCCCAAGCTTTGCCAGCAGCTGTCAGCTGCCTGCTTAATAAGCAGGAATAGGAAATGCAGCAAGTTCGCAGCAGGGGGAAAAAAGTGTCCAGCCGGGTTCCTGATCCATTCCAAAAGCATGGTTTTCCTAATTCTGGACTTTATGAGTCTGGTCTGTGGGGTTTTCAGTTATTTCGCTCTCAGCTTAGGCTGCCATAATAACTTATGGACAAGGAGGATGTTGCTTGGAGGTTTTTTTGGCAGGAATCTTCCCTAAGGTTGGATCTTGGATGTCTTTTCTGACTTTAATGGTTCTGTGATTCCGGGCCATGGGAAATACAGGGATTGCTTCCAAATAAAGTCAGCTATGGCTACGACTTCTGAGTGAGAAAAAATTCACATACATCACAGAGAAATGTAGCAACTTCTCAGCTTGCATGCACACACAGAGCCCTTCCGAGAAGAGCTCCCAGAATTAACCAGCACTGCCCAGCTGGACAGCAGGAACGAGCAGGGGAAGGCAGAGCTCACGAGGAGATCCACGATCTGCAACGCACATCTTTATCCTCCCACATATTCTGCTCATTTCAGCACATCGCCAGCTCTTTTATTTTTTTTAATATGGCAGAAAAGGCAGCAGTTTCATTACGAGGAGGGCTGTAAACATGTGAATGACAGCAGAATTTCTGCCCTAAGTACGTGCAGTGAAAAACGCCCTCCCACAGCATTGCTCCCTGCTTTAAAATGTGCACAGACAAGCGAAGCAAATCATGCAGACACAGAACTTGGCTTGTAAATTAAGGCAGACTAATTGAGCTCTGCCTGAACTCTCTTCCCCTGAATCCTAAACAACCTGCCGAGCA